AAACCCGGAAGAAAGTGATCGCGACATCTATACCACTGAACCTCCAAACCATCAAGACTTTCATCCAAGACTGCATCCGTAATCTCGTTCCAGGCCAAGGCAATGCAAGTATCGTACATTTAACTAAACGAAACAGAGGTTTAGGCCCAATCCCAATTCTATTTTATACCCCTTCCCCTATGTCCCTTGAAACAGAGTGTCAAGAGTGAAGGTGAAAATATTCCCCTAAGAATTGGGACACCACTACTATGCTGTCACACGTTATCATACGTCGTCTAGCTCCTACAATACACACACCTATGCTGGTGAGCATTAGAGCCTTTAATTATCGTTCTATATTAATGCACTGCATGCTTACTGACACACACACACACACATATCAGAGATCGCGCAGTTCACACATCCAGGAGTAAAGATACTTGTCAACGCTGCCCCACGACTTTTATTAATAACAGTTTAAATACTGAATCGTGTAGTGGTTCAATCTTTAACTGGCTGGCAGGAGCCAGTGGCTGGTGGCAGCTGCCAGTCTGATTCTGGCAGGTCACGTGACCTGTCAGTGGTGGCTCCTGCCAGCCAGTTAAAGATTGAACCCCCACTCACTGAATCGCTACATTATATTTTCCAGCAACAAGAGGATAAAATCGCTGTTTTTGAAGTAAACTCACTCTAAAAAGAGAAACACAGACACGCATACACACAACTTTCATCTCTCTCTCTCTCGCTCTCCAATAGGGTTGGGTACCGAAACCCGGTACCAATATGGCACAGGTACCTATGTAACCGGTATGTACTAGAACCGAATCCGAACGCAGATTTCGGTGCCATGCCTGAGCGATCGATTGAAATATTTGTCCTCTGGTTCTCCGAAACGCGGCACCGCACGTGAAAAATAATTTCCCGACTGAGAAAATGCATGTGAACTCAAGTCGGAAAGGTCTAATAATACAAATCCAACAAATCTTTGTAGTAACGCGAGTGTCCATGTTGTTTTCACATTCCGACTTAAAAGCACAACTTGGGAAATGAAAGTATTCGAGGAGCGTGTGAATGCAGTAACGTGCTCTGATGGCAGCAGGTAGCCTTCCGTTAACTAAGCTAAACATGCTTAAATTAAAATGCCTAAAGCTAAACCTCCCTTGTATTCACATTTCTAAACCTGTTGTCCAACAAAACAGAAAATTATAACCTTTTTACTCCACAACACCAGTCAAATGCTTCCTTTTGTGATCTGATGTGGCCTCTTGTCACAGAATGAGGCAGAAAATGTTCCATATGCTACTTTAAAAAGAATACATCGATTAGCAATAGAGTATACATTAGGGTGACCCATATGTCCTCTTTTCCCTTGACATGTCCTCTTTTTGGACCTACAAAAATGCATCCGACCAGGATTTCTTAATTGCCCAAAATGTCCGGGATTCGGCTGTTTTCTTAATCCCACTCCCACTGAATCTCTGACTATTGCCGCCTGCTCCCGCAACATCTCTCTTTATTCTCGACCTGTGATGAGTCAAAGCTGACTCCGGTAGCTCTTGTTGGATGCAGGGTTGCAAAGTCCGCGTTTTTTCCACAGAATTGGGCTACTTTTAAACTGTTACCATGGGTTGATTTTCCAAAGTGGGTTAAAAGTTTGAAATATTTATGCAATAAATTACATTTGACATAAATGCTTGTATTGAAACATTTTGCATTCTACCTATGATAAAACTTTCATGGACTTCTACATTAACTGTTCCCTCCTGGTGGAATGACCTGCCCAGCTCAATCCAAGCAGTTGAGTCCTTAATATTTTCAAGAAACGGCTGAAAACACATCTCTTTCATCTTAATTTGACCCTCTAACTCTAGCACTCTCTATTCTAATTTTATCTGCTTGGTTTTTTTTTTTATTAAAAAACTTGACCCTCTAACATTTTCACTCTTTGTTCTATTTCTATTCTAATGGCCAATCCATCATTTTGGGGGGGATTTTTACATTTTTTTATAAGTATCGGTTCAGGCACCGGAACTGTTTTAAAAGTATCGATTTGGCACCGGCATCGAAAAAAAAAAAAAAAAACATACCCTACCCTACTCTCCAATTGGCAATATTTGAGAAAAGGGTTTAGCGATTTATAATTATTGGGGGGACTAGCCCCCCTCAATGTCTATGGTGGTTATCACCCTGATCAGACATGAAAATATGTTGTGGCACTATCGTGCAGTCTGTAATGATATGACGTTAGCAAACTTTAGCGATTTTTTTGCAAACATTTCTTTGAGTAACATGACCGTAAATATGATCTCACGATTGAAAGTAACATAAAACAAATGATTACTTTTCGTTAAAATCTTTATTAATGCCAAAAATGCTTACATTTATGTGTCTTTTTGTTCGTTCGGGCAGCCATGTTGCCGCTGAAGCCGGTTTACGCTGAGATAATTCATACACCTTCGTTTGAAGTGTGGTTCCGGAAAATCTTCGTTTGAAGGGCTATCTGGCCCTTCCCCTAGCCCTACCCCTCCAACCAAAAGAGAATCGAGACAGCCCTACCCCTTCATGTGAACACACAAAACGGAGGGGTAGGGGAAAAGGGAAGGGCTAAGGGGTAGAATTGGGATTGGGCCTTAGTATAAGCTGTAGACCCTGTTCTAAAACAGCACTGATGGTTTTACTCAGGTGGTTAACTGAATCTTTTCATAGCTTCATTCTCTGGTTTTTCCTGATGGTTTCATCCATCACGCCTCATTTGCCCTTTCCCATGTATGAGTGATTGTTTGTTTGTTAGAATAGTTTGTGTTAGTGTTTAGTTAATAAAACTCTTGTGCACAAATTACATGCATTTCTGATTCTGCCTTGCAAATTAATTGTCCCTTTACGATTTTGATCCTTACTACATGCTCTAATGCATTACTACTGTATGAAAGTATTTTCTGTGGCAACGGAAAGATCCTTTCGTAGAGTTTATATGAATTTACACTGAATGTTTGCTGGACGAACACATTGGTTCATGGCAATTTAATTGTGCTACAGTTACTACTGGCAGCTGATATAAATAATTGTAATTATTCATAATTAACTGTAATTATTTATATACATTTCCCTCTTGAGCTCATTTGCTACACGATCATTCGTACAATGAGATTGGCGGCATACGAATGTTTCATGAATCACATGTGAACTCTGTCATAAGTTGATTTGTGTGCACGGATCTGCGCCAGTTTCTACGTTAGATTAATAAATGAGGCCCACTGTGATACAATAAAGGCATTAGGTTTTAAAGAAAATTATTACAACTGTTAAATTTAAAATCATTCAATTTCAGAGCTTTCTATTCATCAAAGAATCAAGAAAAGGTATCACAGCTTCCATAAAAATATTAAAAACCACAAATGTTTTCAACATTTATAATAAAAAGAAATGTTTCATGAGCACCAAATCATAATAGAATGATATCTTCAGGATCATGTGACACTGAAGACTGGAGTAATAGCTACCGAAAATTCAGATTTGCCATTACAGGAATAAATTACATTTTAAATATATTCAAAAAAAATATTACTGTTATTATACACAATTACTGTTGTTGTTGTTTTTTTATCAAATAACTGCAGCCTTGGTGAGTATAAGAGACTTCTTTCTAAAACATCATACATATTTTTAAAGTGTATATAGCTGCATTCAAAAACAATACTGTAACTCCACCAGCACTAAAGCAAGACTGGATAATTCTGTCTTATCCCTGAGCTAATTTTATCCTTTGATTTAGCTCTGGCAGTCAACAACTAAGTTAATGGCATTGAAAGAGGGGTTCAATGTGTGTGGGTGTGTTTTATCCATCTGTCTCTCTGCTGTCGGTTTAAACATAACAAAAAATAATTGTTGCTGTTGCTTAAATCCATCTAATAAAAAAACAATGCTGTCAATTTTAAGAAATATCTACAATTTGCATAAAATAAGACATTTGATTACTGAAGAAACAAAGAGCACTGACAGAGCAGACACAGACTAACTTGACAAAGTTCTAATAATGAACATAAATTCTTTGTGTGGATATACCTTGAATTTCATTGACATTTTACATTGTAGAATAATGAACCAGTTTTGTCCTTCTAAAAGAATAAAATGGCATCATAAAGCCTCACTAAACAATCATCAGCAACATGTCTACTCTGACATTAATCAATCTTATTTTCTTATTGTATCAAAATTATGAAATTATATAGCAACTCAGTATGCATATGTATGCGTGTATGTATGTGTGTATGTGTATATATATATATATA